GGCGCTCAGTGGGGGGTGGCGTTTGGTGAGGACGGTTTCCCCTCGGGAAGGGGAAGGTCTGGCGCGGGTCCTGGGTATGGCGCAGCCTGTGCATGTGTCCACTGCCGCTGGAGAGTGGTCATGGTGGACAACTTCATGTTGTGTTTTTTACCACGACGATCTCGGAGGGCGATGTGGACAGTCCCCCTCAGAGGTAGAGGTTCTGAGTGGTGGGGTGCTTCCTGGAGCTTCCTGTGGCCCCTGGCAAGGATGAAGACCCACAGTCCTCTCTCGGTGGGGACTCCGGTATTAACTCTTGTACAGATTAGGAAACTGAGGCCCAGAGCCCGTGCCCCCAGGCACCCTGGCCGGCAGGGTTGGGAGAACACGAAGGACTGTCTGGCTTCACACTTACTTTCTGACTTAGAAAAATCTTTAAGCAAGAAACACATTGGGATTCCAAAAGGCAGGATCTGGCCCCTATGCCTGGAAGAGAGCTCCCAAAAGGCAGCCGCATCTCCAACGGAGGTGCTGGGAAGTGGAGGAGGGGCAGTGGCCGGTCCCTCGCCCCTGGTGTGCCTGCCTTCCCTTTGCTTCCGCGGCACTGAGTCCCAGAGGCTACCCAGCCTCCACTGGAACATGCGGTTTCTCCTTATGACTGCCTCAGGTGTTTTGTTATGATAGCGCAGAGCTGACCAGTACAGCCACTCTATTGTTGGGCTCCAAATGTTTTATTCGAGGCTTCCAGTCTCACTGAGAGCCTAAAATCTGCAAACGGGGTCACAGGTCACTCAGGACAGGAAAGCAGTAGCCCCCCCCTGGCCCTCCACCCCCTTCAGCCCCCAGCCCCTCCCTCTCCTCTCTCAGGCCTGGCTCCACGTGAGGTCAAGGCTCCCCCTGGATTGGGCCCTGCTGTAGCAAGTCCTCTGCATGGCTGGCTGGAGACCTCGGCCCTGCAGAGTGAGCTAGCAATGCACCCTGTCCAGGCACTCTGAGGACCATGGAAAGTGTGTGTGTAGAGGCCAGAGGTGTGCTGTGGCTAGCAGGCTGAGGATGGCTGAGGGGAGAGGGGGGAGGAGGAAGGAGGGGAGGACCAGCTTCCTCTCAGGGCTGCAGGGCCCGCTGGAGCAGGTGCTCATCGGCCACCTGGTGCGGGAGAGTCACCACCAAACCACTGTTCTCCCTCATGGTCTGACAGATGATGTCATAGGCCTTTGAGTTCCCAGACCAGCAGCGCCGGGCCACCTGGGGGAGGGGGCGTGCAGCGGCTGGGGTCAGTACCACCCCACGGGTTTCACCCCAGACTCCCTGTCCTCTGCCCTCGGGCACAGGGGCCTCCTCTCTGTGTGCCCATCCTTTCTTAACTTTCCCTGATGCAACCTGTTCTTGATCTGGAACTGGCCACTGACCCCTTCATCATCTCCACCGATGACCCAGCCTCCACCTGGGCTCCTGGCCAGGAACTGGGGTCACCTGAAGCCCTTCCCTCTCTGTCCTCAAGAATCAACCTTCAAAATGCCTCTCTGGCCTGTCCCTCCCCCATCCTTCCCCTCCATCTAGTCCTCCTAGATGGTGGTCTTGGCACCTCACCCCTGCTGCCCTTCTCCACGCCTTCTCCATCTCAGACCATCACGGACCCTTCTAGAACCAAAGCCCAGCACAGTTCCCTGACTCCCAGCCTCTGGGAGGCTCTGCGGCTGGGGTAGGGGCCTGGCCAGAGTCCCATCCAGTCTCATTCTCACCACAGTCCCCACCTAGCGTCACACCGCCGTCACACCGGCTCCCGGCCCCACGTCCCTCCTGTTTACCCCTGCCTGACCCGTGACCTCTGGCTGAGCTGCCCATGCTGTTATCCTAGAGGACCCCCAGGATGCTGCGCACAGCCTGGTTGCCGGTGCTTTCCCACAGGCCTCCGGTGGGGAGGGCTGGGGTGCCACTCGGTGGTGGAGCCCACCTGGCATCCCCCCAAAACAGCAGGACAGACAAGCCTTAAAAGTGAGGCCCAGCGGACCATGGAGAACCCCGTGGCTCCAGCACCAGAAAGAGCAGCGCTGGGCAAGGGTCGGGGGGGGGGGGGCTGGGGCCAGACGGGGCTGCCACAGCAGGAGGCCCAGAGGAGTCTGGAACCTACCAGGCGCGACTCGCGTGGGGGAGCGTGGGGGAGCGTGTGGAACCGCGGCCCAGGGCGGCCATGGAGGTGCAGCGGGAGCTGGAGCCGCCCGGGCGACTTACGCCATTGGAGACGTCCCAGCTGAGCATCATCCGGGCTTTCTCCTCGGCCTCTGGGGTCCCGTCCAGCACCAGGCCAAATCCCCCGTTGATCACCTCACCCCTGTACGAGGCAGACGGGATCCCAGGTCACACCTCTCCCCTACCACATACCCCGCGTGGTGGTGGCCTGGGGAGGCATCCAAGAGGGGCAGCCACGTCACGCCGGCCTCTGCGGCCCGCTGCGCGCATACCGGGGTGCATGGGCCTGGGGGGGGGAGCCTCCCAGCTCCAGCCCGAGGCCCGCACCAGGCTCCCTTCCCACCACACTGTCTCTAAGGCCACCCAGTCCGGTTGCTTCTCCCCCTGACATTGCCTGGGTGACCCGTGTCCTGCTCGTCCCTCCCTTCTACTTGGTCCTTCCTACTACCTGACCTGTTTTCAGTATTTCTCATTTTGTAATCAGTGCATTTCTGAGTGCCGCTGGCTCTCCAGCTGGCTTCCGCGTGCTGTCTTTTCCTTCCTCTCTGAGCAGATGGGACTGGAGCCTCAGGGACGTCCTTGCTAGCCTGCTTTCTGCACTTGCCCTGGCCCTTCCTTCTTCGTGAGTCGGGGCCTCCATCCCCGCTGGGGCCTGTCTCAATCGGTTATGCTGCGTCCGGCCTGGGCCCTTGCTCAGGGTTCTGCCTTCGGGGACGTTCTGTCAGCACTGCGGGGGCCCTCAGCCTCTGGCTCCTCCCTGGGGGAACTGCTCCACCCCGAACCTCACCTCAGTGTGTGCCTGGACTCCTGTCTCTGACCTCACAGGCCTGTCCGGCTCTCCCGCTTCGGGTCCCGTCTGGACCATCCATAGGGCTGGTTCTCGCCAGGAGGCCAGAGTGCCCTGTGCCAGGAGACTCCTGCACCCCTTCCTCCAGCCCTCCTGCCAGTGGGCTAGCTGCTACGGCCCCAGGCCCGGCCCTGCCCCCACAGAATCCCCAAGACTTCCTCCCGGGCTGGCCGCCCCTGGCAGCTCCTTACCAGCCCACACCTCCTCCATTGTGAAGCGCCACCCAGGTGGCTCCTCGACAGGCATCTCCCACGAAGTTCTGCACAGCCATGTCTGCAGAGACAGGAGCCCACTACCCCATAGTTCCCTGTGCCGGGTGGGCCGGGCACCGCACTGCTCAGGACAGTGCAGCAGCCTGCAGAGGGGGGCAGGGACTGGAGACTCCAGAGACGGGGAGAGAAACAGACAGGAAACTCCAGAAACAGCAATGGCCTGTGCTAGAAGAACCCAGGCTGCAGCAGGGGATGCTGGCAGCTGCCCACAGCCCATCACCTCTTCCCCTGGTGAACTCTTCCACGCAGGGCACCAGCTGAGAGCACCCACAGGCAGAAGAGCGAAAGAAAGAGGCGGGCTGTGGTTCTGAGAGCTGCAGGAAGCCAGACACCACTTCCCTAAGCCTCGCAGGCAGGGATGATTGAAAAGGAAAGGTTCTGCTTGACTCCATTAGAGAACCCAGGTCCCAGCCTGGCTGCTCGGCAGGACTTGCGGGCTCTCACCTGCGCAGAAGGCAGAGCCATCGTGGATGTTGGAGGTCTCCCGGAAGGGGCTGTCGGTGCCGCTCACGTCATGGTGGTCACGGCTCAGGACGACCGGCGCCTGCAGGTGGGGCAGTGTCCATCAGCCGGCGTCCACCGGGGCTGCCCAGCAGGGGCGGGGCGCAAGGGGGGCTGCTTCAGGAGCCAGGCAGACTCTGCTCTTGAAAACAGACCCCTCCCGAAGAAACAGCCACTTCTGCTGTCCCCCGGAGCTACGAACACTCCCTTGAGCCCGACAGTGCCGGTGCGCCGGGCCCTGGCCATGCGCCGCCTCCACACCCCTCGTCCCAACAGCACGGCTACCACACCCCTTCCAACCACGAAAACTGACACACAGCAAGGCTGGGGACTTGATCTGCAGCACACAGCTTGTTAACAGGGAAGCAGAGATGTAACCCCACACATGCTGTACCAGAACTGGGCTTCTCGCTGGCCCCCGAGCCTGTGTGGTGAGAGCAGGGGCTGGCAGAGAGCCCCGGGAGGGGGAAGGCTGGTAGGCATGGCTGTGTGGCCTGGGGCAGGTCACCTCCCCCCTCTGGGCTTGGTCATTGCTTAGAGCCTTTTTGTGTTGAGAGTCTCTGAGGACAGAGACATCACGTGGGAGAAGCAGCCACGCCGAGTCTGACTGTGAACGTTGTAGGTGCTTCTGAACAGAGAGGTGCCAGCTAGTAAGCGCGGTGTGAGACGGAAGGGCAGGATGGCTGCGCCTGGCGGGCCACCCAGGGTCCCGTGCCCTTCAGTAGCAGGGAAGTGTGCCATAGATTGGAAAAGGTAACTAAAAAGATCTGGGTGACAGAGACACCACATTTCATCCTCATACCCACACACTGAGGTTCTAATACAATCCTCCTCTCACAGATCGGGAAACTGAGGCTTGGAGCAGATATCTGACCTGCCCAAAGTTACAGAGAAAGGAACATTGGTATGCCTCACTATGACCCACACTCAGAGACGGGGTGGGGGGGAGTTCACTGCCAGCCCCTCCCCGCCTCCCTCCCTTCCTTCTCTCAGGGCTGCTGCCCCCCCTCACTTCCCAAACAGGGGCTGGGTCCTAGCCTGGCTCATCTCTGATTCCCTCTGCCCATCTGCTCCACAGAGACTGAGGCTCTTCTGTTTCCCTGAGGCCGGGGGCACCCAGGGGAAGGCAAAGACTCCCTGGACACCAGGCTACTGAGGCCAGGGAGGGTGGGCTGGTTGATAGGGCAGAGGCTCGGGCGGGGGGCCTCAGGGCCAAGCCTGGATGATGAGCAGCAGCCGGGGAGAGGCCACAGGCACAGGACACGTCACCTTGATCGTCCCACTGGCGATGGCCTGGTTAATGGCCACAGCAATGGCCACGCGGCCCTTCTGGTCTGAGTACAAGATCCTGGCCTGGGAGCCCACCACCTGCGGAAGAAAGGGGGGCTGTTGGTGATGTGGGGGTGTCACGCAGGGGCCCCAAGGCCCTGTGTGCGACCTGATGGCCAGTCCAGTTGTGTAGCCATGCAACATGGCTGAGAACACTGATAACAAAGCCAGGCACAGGGTCTGAGTCACATTAGCGAGACTTCTGCCCCGCCTCCTTGTGGGGACCACAGCGGGAGCTTCTGCCCAGCCCGGCCTGCAGGACACAGGAGGTGGGGTGGCGGTGCTGTTGGGAGGACTCCAGCGGGGCAGACCACACAGGCCTGGGGTGCAGGACAGAGGACATTCCCAAGGCTCTTCCAGGAGAGCCCCTCGGAAGATGGTCATGGGGGTCACAGGCTGTCTGGTCTGTGTGGACCACAGCGGGTACTGTGTGTGGACCACACTGGCCCTCTGTGGGCTGGACATGCAGCACATCCCAGCCTCCAGACTTGCCAGTTGCCACACAGCTGGCCTCCTCTGTCCATGTGTTTCAGTTGCAAGCCTACTTCGCTCGCCCCTGCAGCAACACATCTTTTTTGGGAAATCCACAGGTGTAAAATCACTGCTGCTGGGCTGCTCAAATTCCCTGGGTCCAAGCTGGGTGCTGGTGGCTCATGCCTGTCATCCTAGCTACTCAGGAGGCTGAGATCTGAGGATCGAGGTTCAAAGCCAGCCCAGGCAGGAAAGTCCATGAGACTTTTTTTTTTGGGGTCCGGTCATGGGGCCTGAACTCTTGGCCTGGGCGCTGTCCCTCAGCTCTTCAGCTCAAGGCTAGCGCTCTACCATTTGAGCCACAGCGCCACTTCCGGCTTTTTTTTTCTTTTTTCTTATGTGGTGCTGAGGAATCGAACTCAGGGCCTCATGCATGCAAGGCAAGCACTCTACCACTGAGCTACCTTCCGAGCCTGTCCATGAGACTCTTATCTCCAATAAACCACTCAAAAACTGGAAGTAGTGCTGTGGCTCAAGTGGTAGAGCGCTCGCCTTGAGCTGAAGAGTGCAAGGACAGTGCCCAGGCCCAGAGTTCAAGCCCCAACCAAAAAAAAAAAATTCCCTGGGTCCAGACTGGAAAAGTGCTGATATAAAATTGCTAGATTTAAGCTGGGTGTGGTAGGCTGTGGCTCAAGTGGTAGAGCACTAGCCTTGAACACAAAGAGGCTCAGAGAGACAGCGCCCAAGCCCTGAATTCAAGCCCCAGGACTGGGTAAAAGAAAAAAAAAATGGCCAAGTTTATCTGGGTGCCGTGGCTCACGTCTGTGATCCTAGCTACTCGGGAGGCTGAGATCTTCAGTATCTTGTTCCCAAGCCAGATTAGGGAGAAACGCTTACAAGATTCCATGTCCAAAACAAGTAGCAGAAAGCAGGACAGGAGAGGTGTGGCTAAAGTGGTAGAGCACCAGTCAAGCCAAGTTCAAAGTATTGAGTTCAAACCCCAGTAGCTAGCACCGGCCTACTGCCTCAGAGCTCACCTCCTCTTCCTCCTCCCCCCTCCTCTTCACTGGAGATTGAACTGAAGGTCTCACACGGGCAAAGCAAGCACTCTAACATTGGAGCCCCCTCCCTCCGCCCTTCCGTTGGCATTTTGCTCCTGAGACAGGCCTTGCTGACGTCCCCTCCCACCACACCCTCTGGAGAGGCTGGGACTGCAGGCCTGCACCGTCAAGCACAGTTTCCTGGTTGTTTCTTTCTTTTTTGGTAAAATGTTGATTACATAGAACTGATCATCTTGGCCGTTTTCAGTGCCCAGCTCGATGGCATTTAATAAGTTCATAACACAGTACAACCATCTAACCATCACTTGTAGAACTTTTTAATCTTCCCTGAACTGACATTCTGTCTCCAGGTCCCCTCCTGCCGCTCGTCAGCCGCGTGCTCACACTGCTGCTCCAGGGAACCACACAGCACTTGTCCTTTCCGCCGGTCCACTGCCCTGGGCAGCAGCAGGCCTCCCAGGCCCCTTCCTTGTTAAGGCCAAACAGCAGTGGGCCCTGAACAAGACCACGTCTGGTGTACCCCTCTGCAGGGACCACTCCGGCCGTTCCATTCACATGGACATTGGATTGCTTTTGCACATGAGCTGTGGTGAACGCTGCCGATAGAAACACGTGCACAACGTGCGTGCTGGAGATCTCACTCAACCCTAGTGGGTGTATGGTCTCCCCCCCTTTTTCTTTGGTGCCAGTCCTAGAGCTTGAACTTAGGGCCTGGGCATCATCCCTGAGCTGCTTTTCTTTTGCACAAGGCTAGCACTCTACCACTTGGGCCACAGCTCCACTTCCAGATTTTGGGCAGTTCACTGGAGATAAGAGTCTCATGGACCTTCCTGCCCGGGTTCTGTCTGTGACTTTGGAGGACCCCTGCACTGTCGTGCACAGCCGGAGCTCCTGCCAGCCGTCCAGGCTCCGGCTTCTCCAGGCCGCCCCTTACAGGGCGGGACTCCTTCCTCCAGCTCTTGGGGAGGTGACAGTGCCTCTCCCAGATGGCCAGCTGGGGGTGCCATCATGTCACACAGTCCAGGTCTGCAGCCCTCAGGACACGATGCGCAGAGGCCCCAAAGCAGAACAGCACCCCCAGGCCAGCTTCGGGGAGCCCCCAGCCCTGCGTGCTGCCTCCCAGCCCCACCCACCCAGGCCCCGCCCTCACCAGCTGGTGCTTGGCTGCCTCTCGGATCCAGCGGATGTTGTCCAGGTACTGCAGCTTCACAGACTCCTTCACTGCAGGCAGAAGGAAGAGAGAGCCTCGGGCATCCGCTCCCGAGGGGCTGCTGGAGCCGGGCTCGGGGCCCACCCCACCTTCCCACCAAGGTCCCTAGCTCCGGAAGGCAGCATACTGATGGTAGGGATTACTGCGTGGACCACTGCCTGATACCTTCCCCCCGTGCATGCCAGACATGGTACAAGGAGCTCCGACAGCAGTTGGCCATGAGGAAATGGGGGTGGTGGGGAAACGGGACCAAAAGCTCCCAAGAAGGTGATGGTCAGGGTGAGTCCTAATTCTGAGGTGCAGGCTACACAGAGCTGTATGGAACAGCGCTGGGCAGAGGACACAGCCAGTGCAACGGCCCTGAGCTGGGAATAAGCTTGATCTGTCTGAGGGTGAGTGACAGGGTGGCAGCCATGGCGTGAGGAGCCTGCAGGAGCCAGCTCTGAGAACAGCCCGGTAACTTACTGGAAGTCATGTGAGTCAGTGGCTAGCACTGCAATGCTAAAACCACCCTTCAATGAGCTTACACCTAAAAACTTCCTGCTCCTCCGTGTCTGTGGCTTCGCTGCCCTTGACTGAATCTACGCTCCTGAGGTCACCTCAGCCTCATAGAGCCACCTCGGAATGGCTGCTCCGACAGCATGAACCCCGGGCCCCAGGCCCATCACAGCCCAAGGGCAGCTGTGCTGGGAACACCTAGGCTGCGGTCACTGGCAGGTGTGACTGCTGGACACTGACACGCCCGCAGCCAGACACCCAGCAGCACCTGCCGAAGGCCAGGCAGCTGTCCCAGAAGCTGAGAGGGCCCTGGACGGGATTCCACACAGCAGAGCTCCGGGATCTTCCTCCTTAGGTCTGACCCTGCCCACCTAGGTGCCCGGCTACCCTCTGCCTGGCTCTGCAGCCCTCTCTCCAGGGGCCCAGGGGCCCACTGCAGCCCGCTGAACCTGGAGTGGGCTGCAGGCTTAAAAGGGACCGGCGGGACTTGCAGCAAAGGCTGATGGGCCCACACAGGGGAGCGGCCATGCCAGGCCTGCGGGGAAGCCACTGGGAGAGGAGCGGGAGCCATTCCCCACTGTCTTCAGGATGTGACGTGCATGCCATCAACTGGTTTCAGAAGAACAGCAGGATGTAAGAAGTCGTCAGGGACGTGTGGACACAGGAAGACTGAGTCACTGGGTACTGGCACAGCCCCACAGGAGCCTGGGAAGTGCGGGTACGCAGAAGCCTCGAGGGGGCCTGCGTGGGGCGGCTCGGTGGGAAGTGCTGCTGACAGGCATGAAACAAAGGCGGTGTTCCGGCGCCCCCAGGGGCTGGGGGCCGGGCAGGCCAGAGAGGGCTGCAGTGGGTCAAGGGCTGCCCAGGCCTGGCTGGCCGTGACCGCTAAGCTGCCTGAGCCCCAGGCTCCCTGGCTTCAGTCACCTCCAGAGGCTCCTGGAGTTTGGATCCGAAATGTTCCCAGAAGAATCGAGTGCTGGGAATTGGAGGTGGTGGCAGCCTTGAGAGGCAGAGTCTAAAGAAAGGCAGGGAGGGCCTGGGGGGGGGGAGGGGGAGAGCGCTATCCATGGGGGGGTCGGGACCCTTGCCCTTCCTCTCCCTTGTCAGCCACTCAATCTACCCCAGACTTGCACCATGATGCGCTGGCATGTCACCGGCCCACTACAGACGGAAGCCTTGAAACTCCTCACAAGGGAGAGTGGAAAGCTGACTGGCAAGGTGACCGCCAGCCCTGACCAGCAACCTCAAGAGCCGCGCGAGGCAGAGCGTGGACAGGGCTTCCCTGGCTCAGGACCCTCAAGCAGAATCTTCCTGGTTGCCTCAGTCACAAATGCCGGCGGGGCCTGGGGTCCCAGGCAGAATCTGCACTGTCTGCGAGCTGCCCTGCAGGGGGGACCCCGGGAGCCCACTGTCCACCTTACCTCCATCCGCGATGACCCTCTCCAGCACAGAAGTGGCCAGGCGGTCGGTGACGGCCAGGTCTTGGGGGTCTCCCGACGTGCACACCCAGCGGAAAGGCCCGAACCCCTGGGAGAATATGTCCCTGTGGGGACAGGCCGCTCAGCTGGGCTGCTAGGCCACAGCTCCCGCCTGGGGCTGGAACGCGTGTGGTCCGCCCTCAGGAGGAACGGGGCAGTTTCTGGGGCCCCTCAGCTCTCCGTGTCCCCCTGCAGCCTGCACGTCTCCACCTGCAGGAGCAGGCAGCGGGGACAGGAACAAGAAGACATCTTGTCAATTGCTGTCACTTCAAGATGAACAGTCGACCGGCCCGGGTGGCCGGTGAAGGAGGCTTGCTTTCCAGGCAACCCAGCTTGGGTGATGCGGCGACCAGGAACAGAAGGATTCGGCCATCCAGGGCCTCCCAGCTTCTATGCTCGGGCCTGGCTGGGCGCATGCCTCAGGTCCCCCCCACCCCTCGTCCTCTCCCCAGGGAGCCCAGCCGCCTGCGCCCAGCCGCCTGCGCCCAGCTGCCTGCGTCCTGTTCGCCCCCACGGCAGCTGTGAGCAGGTGCGCTGTGACCTCCTCGCCACCTCCCCTCTTGGGTCCCCTCTGCACCCAATTGGCCTACACCCAAGGCTGGTCCCCGTGGCCCCGCCCACCCTGGGTCCCCCGTGACCCCGCCCACAACTGGTCTCGCGGCCCCGCCCCATCCGGGGGCCCCGTGGCCCCGCCCACACCGGGTCTCGTGGCCCCGCCCACCCTGGGCCCCGAGGCCCCGCCCACACCTGGTCTCGTGGCCCCGCCCCTCCGGGGACCCAGTGGCCCCGCCCACACCTGGTCTCGCGGCCCCGCCCCCGCCGGCCCCACCCCCGCCGCAGGGCACGTCGGGTAATCGCGGGCGGTGAGCCTGGCTGCCGCAGGCCGGTGCTGCTCTCTGGGGACGCGGCCTGTCACCGCTGTCGCCGCTGCGCCCTCACTCTGGGCCCTCGAGGATCCGGGCACGTGGCTCTGGGGCGGGCCGGAGCTTGAGGCCGCCCCGGGCCCTGGGCGCCGCCCCACTCACCCCATGATGTGCTGGACGTAGGACGGGTAGCGGAACTCCATCTTGCCGGCGCCCTTCTTCTCCACGTCCGCTCCTGCGCGGAATCGCGGGGCTGAGGCCGGCGGAGGCTGGGCGGGCCGCGGGGCCTTTGGCGCACGAAGCCCCGGGCATGGCCTGCCGTCGCCGG